TGAAAGAAGAAAAGTAAAGAAGCCCCAAACATTGTTTCAAATGCATCCAACACTGGCAATTTCTCCAATTTCCGCCAAAAAAGTAGTTCCGGCAACGAGAGTAAAGTGACCAATGTTGTTGCTTAGCAACCGCTGGTACGTCCTATGGTGATAAAAAGTGCAGAATGATTTTAACCAATCAGACTGTGTTCAGAACTGTTCGTAAGGCTACATGACACCTACAAACATTTCAGTAACACTTTATTTGAAGGCTGCCAACATAGCGACTTCATAATACATGCATAAGCATTGATGTCCTATGTATAGAGGTTTAATATGTATAAACACTTACGTCAATAATAGCAAGATTGCATAGGATGTTTTATGAAGTAAATGACACTGTACTGACATATCTTCACTGTTCAAAGAACAACATGTTAATGTAAAGAGGTTTTATGAAATGTTCACACAATGTAAAGGAAAGCTGTCGTGTTTGCATGAGGTAGAAAAATGAAAATTGGACAAAAATGGATATACATGTGATGTGGGGCCTTAAACCACGGTGATGGACATTTGTTCCATTTATATTTCCCAAATGAAGGCACTTATAAGGTTGAGGCCCTGTTAAGAACACCATATGAAGAGTTCATTTGCAAAAATACTCCTTTAAAAACGGTAAAAATGAGCTGACTGTCGTGAGTTATTCTTACAGCACGTTCTGAACCCTAAATACATTTTGTCACAAATGCCATTACTGATCATCGTCAAGGCACTGCAAGTTCACGTTTTACAGCAGAAACAGTGAAATGCCAGCGATGTTCTGCAGCAGACCCTGATAAATTCGTTCAGCCAATCAGTGCGCAGTATTCGGGTTAGGTGACTCAACACTGCCACCAACTGTTTCGGACAGAATCTCAGACGGCTCCCTTCTCCCTACAAAGTGCAGCAAGTAGGTCTACTACATCTAAACAGAGCTCAGAAAGTCTAACAGAGAACCACTCTGGATTCAGCCATGTGAGCTCAATTCATACTGAACATAAAGATCAATATTTCTGTATAAAAGCCACAGTTTCATAACTCATAGTGCACCATATAGGGAGCAGTGGGCCATTTGAGATTCAGCCTTAGGATTTTCTGAGCTCTGATATTGAACATTAATGAGCTGTTTTTTTCAATAAATTTTCCTGCTTGTTTTATGGTAAAGAATATTAAATATTGCACTTTTATTATACATGGCTTTCTTTAACTCTGAAACATGAAAATGACCATTGGAGTGTCAGCTTTTGCCAAAAAAACAAAATTAAAAAAAAATTAATAAAGTTAAATTTTGAAAGTTACTTGTTTTTTATTGAGTTATTTTAACTTAATCAAAACAACCAACCTGCAGTTTGGTTGATATGACTTGGAATGCACAATAAAAAATACAGGTTTCATTTAATTTAGGAAAATTAATTAAAATGGTGATATCTGTTTTTGCAAATACACATTTCATATATCAATTTCAATATTTCAATACATTTCTAATTGAGTTTAAGTACAAAATCTCTTAAAGGAGATCTGTGTGGCTGCACATGTTTTTCTTCCTAATAGAAAGTGTTAAGCAAAGTAATCTAACATCATAACTATGATGACTCACAGTACTTGTCATTTTTGTATGGGAATACGTATCTGTATTAAAATAAAATACATATGAAATGATGACTCCCACTTTGAGGGCAACCAAAGTCTTCCATGGAACTGATATGGGGTGTTCTTAACCAGGCCTCTGCCTTATAAGTTCCATGACTTGGGAATGATGCTTAATAACAGTGTTATAAATGGAAGAAAGGCCTGTCACTTTAGGTTAAAGCCCAAAGTAAGTCATTAATTTTATAAAACATCTTAGGTCATCTTGCAAATAGTGGCATAAGCTGTTAATAAATATTCAATTAAACACAGTATTCAGTGCTTATGTATGTGTTATGAACACCTATTCCAACAGTCGCCTTTTGTCTTAAAGGTTGCATTTGCCAGCCTTGATGTTAAGTTGACTTCATGACGCCTACAGGAATAAGCCTTTATAACTGTTTATGTAGGTTTATGTCAGCTGTCGTGATAAGTTTATGTAGGTGTCATGAAGCTTTATGAACACTACAGGAAAGTGTTACCTATTCAATAAAGAACTCGTATTTCCAAATGTAAAAATTCAAACAAAAAGCTTTGCTTTTAATGTCCATTGTGTAAATATTTGTATATTCAGTCTAATTTTATAATAATCAAATCGCACAATAATAACTGAATTGAATTGAATTGACAATTTGAGACACGATGCATTGAATCCCTTGTAATCAAATCAAATGAGTTTCACTTCACTCTGATGCTTTAGCGGAGTAGCGTGAGCAGGGTGAGGTGGGTCACTCTGAGGTCAGTCCAGGTTCGGTCATTGAGGCCAAAACCCCGTCACCCCTTTATTTTCCTCTGCCAGCCGCACATCACCAGAGTGCCTACCAGAAACGGGCAGCGCAAAGGCCGGCATTGTGACACAAGAAAGAAAGAGCTCGGGCCAATTCATCTGACAGCAACAACAAAAATGAAAAAAACAACAACAACAGCAATGACGGTCAAACCCTGCCGTTCGGAAGCGACTCCGTGTTCCCTGCTCATTCCTATTTGATCGGAATCAAATAAACATCTCACACAAAAACAACAATGCTTGCTCCCCTTCGTTTCAATAAATAAATAAATATGTGCATGAACTCAATAAATTAACCCCCACAAGTAGCAAAAGCAAATAAATACGGAGCTCGAAAAAAAACAAAAAAATATAAATCACATCACAAAGAGTGTAAGAATCAAGTGTGTCCCGTAATCTGCACTGTTAGAAATAAAGGTTCCTACACGGTTCTTAGCTCAGATGTACCTTAAACTGGATTAAAACCTTCACATCATGTTGAGGGTCCTTTAAATTCGCACATCTCATTTAGAAAAACGATTCCGCTGAAAAATCCTCGCGATGGCACCTTTATTTTTAAGTGTGTCCTCGGTAAGAAGCAGCCTTTGACCTCTAAGGAGGGCCTCAGTGAACAAAGAAAGCCAAAAATTGCACGTTCCAAAGCAAACAGGCTTAAGTTTTAATGGACATCATGCAGTTTCTGACCTGTAAAGCCCAAAGCCTTCAGGGTCCTGGGTTATAATTAAAAGCCTCAGATTGGCCTGAGGGGGAAACACTGACTCTTTACTTTAAGTTAAGCACACTTTGCTCCAAGCAGAGGTCACGGTTAGCTTTAAAGTCTTCAGGTAATGGCTCTGTATCATTAGCGTGGGCAGCCCAGGTGCTCTTCCCAAACCGTGAACAACCTTCACTGCTAGCTGCTAATTCAGAATAAATTCTCAAAATAGTTGCGTCGAAAAGTTTTCTCTAGTCTTAAAGGGACACTCCGGCCGAAGTGAGAAATGTAGGCATCGTTACGTCCGCCTGTTTTGCTCCACCAGTGGTGCCATCATAGTCTTGATTGAAGTTCCCCAGTTTAAAGACTAGAAAGAAAGAAAAACTGATGTATCTGGAAGGTGGGAGGAACTTTTGAACAACTACAACTGCTTTGCGAGGTGGGGGCAGTCTTCAAACGATGACTACGATGGAGAGAATGGATTACTTAACAGAAATTACTTGTTAGATGAAGAAAACAGGCTAAAAGCTAATGTTAGCAAGACACCTAGCCAGCTATCTAAATACCTTTCCTCAGTTTGGCTCCTTTTTCAGGCTAAAAGGGCCAAAAACATGTCTATTTTGTGCTGACTGAGGATAGAATCGCTGTTTTCTTGATGATTTTGCATTAGCATTAACACTAATGCTTGGCTGTATACATTAAGTCGACAGCTCAGTGGCTAGGCTAGCAGTCAGGATTTGTTGGCACCAATGTCTTTATGTATCTATGCAATGCATGTATTGTGGTGACAGAATGTTATTGAATGAAAACATGGCATAAAATTGTGATTTCTAGCTGAGGGATTCAATGCTATGCTAACATGACAAATAACACTAAATGCTAGCTTTAGGCCGGACTGCCCCTTTCATAAGTGATACATATCGTTGCTGTCGTATCAAAACCTTTTTTCTACCTAAGACCAGCTGCTTTGTACACTGTGAACATTTCATGACCGATAGAAATGGTCCAAAATTACACTTTTGAGTTCCATTAAGTAGTTAGTGGTTGTATCAAGTTAAATTTCAGGTATATGAGGTTTCGTTACGACATCAACAATGTTTTGCACCGTGTGTAAGTCTTAAAGGCGTCCAAGCTCAGATGCTGTCACTGGGGACTGAAGACTTGGTTAGTGCACTATGAGTATCTACAGTACACAACTGTAAACAACTGCACAATCCAATTAGAGGTGATGGGAGTAGCACAGCTGCCCCATGAGAGGACACATGGGTGGTTTGGGACGGGCAGGCGGGAGCGGAGGAGCTAAGCTAGAAATAGAGGCTTCTAGTTCGCATAGATCCCTGTTTATGGAGTATTTGTACCTCATGTCCTCCATGATGCCCTGAGGTAGGCAACACAGACATACTGTAAACCAAAGGTGATGGGTAGATGGCAGGCTCTGCTTTAGAAAGCAGGGCTCTGGGAAAACTGAATGGCCTCGAAGAGTGAGATGGAGTTATAAACAGGCTTATCTACAGTGTAATTTGCAAGGAATACCCTAATCTCCATCTGCCACATCTGTATTGTACCATCAGTTACCACGGACGATAAATTCGACGTTTCCCTGTACGGCAAAAACTCAAGGACTTATAATAGAAGCTTAGCATGCGGAAACTCCGTCCACTAGACTTTGTTTTGGGACAAAATGGAATGTCTGATCAATTGTTTTAATAAAGTAAACATAATTAAGGTATACGGTCATTCAAAGCAAAGGGATTTTAATCTAAAGTCCAGGTCAGTTAAGTCCAAAGTACGTTTTCAACTCTCTGAGCCAATTTGGTAGAATGATTTGTCAAGGCCTAATCCAACAAGTGTCCACACAAAAATGGACAAAAGCAGCTGACCCTTGTTGGAATAAGCCTTTATTAGTTTATGTAAGCTTGTCATTTGATGTTTATGTAAGTTTATGTAAGTTTGTGCCAAGTTTTGCAAACGTTAACTGACAGAATCCAACTTCCATTGGCTCCTACTAAGCAGGTCAGCACAGAAAAACAGCTTGAAATGACTGTCTGTGGAAATGAACGGTACAGTACAGATGCAGCACGCAGCTTTTTAAAAACAGAGTATTCCTTTAAGCTTTGGAACCACACTTAATTGCCTCTGAAAACCCACTGGCTTAGACCTTAATCATGTGATGCGTTTAAACTGACGCTTGCTCATTTAGGTTCATTACGTGTATACTGAGTGAAAAAAATGACGCCATGCGTTCGGTCCACCGTCCAGAAGGGGTCAGCCTGGTGACGAACAGGCATCGACGCACAGTTTGTGTCCTTCATCCGGGTCCCACAGTAGCAGCGGCAGCCCCAGTTCAGTGTAGCAGAGGACTAATATTGAAACCTGCACACAAGTCACTAATATCAATTGACACCAAAATGGAATGAGAAATCAAAGGTTCATAAAAAGGCCAAGCTCGAATGGAATATCTACCGTATGTACAGTCCCTTTGCACCCCAGAAGCGTCATTTAAACAATTCAAACCTCCCTTTTTTAAATTCAGAAATCCTGAAGTGAAATGATCTGTCCGTAAAAAGATCAACTTTCTGGACGAAAAGAAAAACAAAAACACCTTTTCGTAATAGATAGCCTTCTGTGCCGAGCCTTTGTCGTACCTGGATGCCTATTATATTCAACAGTCCTGAAACCGTCATTAAAATTCACAGTAATCCTCATCCTCATCACCCTCATCCTCAAAAAAAATACTTAAAAAAATAATATTTCAAAAAGGAAACAAACAAGAGAAACCGCAAGACAATAAGCGAGTAAGCGTGCAGCTCTGGTGCCAAACTACGCGGCTGTTCGTCTCCTAATAGCTTTGATTTTATTTTATTTTCGATAAGACATAAGACTCAGAGAGGCGACTGCACTGAAACTGGAGTGGAATGCGGACGCCGCTGTACAATAAGTGAAAAGAGACCCTGTATCGGTAGCCGTTCTCCGCTTTCCTCTCTTTCTCTCACTCTATCCCTCTTATCCAAAGTTCAGAGGGCCACGGCAACACGCCTGTTCACTTCAAGGAAAAATATGACGATTACAGGAGGAAATATGGGGAGTTTTTCAGGCCTCGCAGTTCAGTTCGGTGGAGCTGATGTCTCGTGAAGGCTGATGGCTGAGTGTCATGTCGTTTAATGAAAGGTTCTCGGACACCCTCGCAATTCTACATTTAATTTTCCAGCCCGAGACCTATCCGGTCACTTTCTCCAGCTCGTAATCCCTTCTTCAGTTCCTCCGCTTCCACTGCTCCGACGCCGACTCTCGTTTCTCTCCACAATCCCTCCGTCGATTCCCCTCGTTGGGTTCAGGATGAAGTGGGGTTAATCATCAGTCTGGTTTCGTTCGTTCGTCTGAAGGAGAAGGTTTTGGTGATGATGAAGGTTCAAAAGGTCATCTACTCGATGACCATGCAGCGCGGCAGGTGCTGCGAGTAGTACTTGAAAAGTTCGGCCGTGGCACCCGGGCAGTTGGTCAGCTCCAGCTCCTCCAACTCCTGCAGCTGGATCAAGCCCGAAAGGCCGGTGGTGGTCAGCAGGGGGCAGCCTGACACAAAGCGAGAAAGAAAAGCACCCAGGCTGAGACCCACTTCCTGCCCAGAGCTCATAATCAAATTCTAAGAATAATACAGTATCAAACAAATGACACCTCAGCTTTATCAGATGCTATTTGTGTAATATGTTTAAAACACGCTGAATAATATTCATCTAAAACACAACAATGTAAGCCTTCATTTGCAAAAACAATGTACAAATCTAATCTGATCAAATTTCATTGTTAGTGTGATTTTTACAGCTTTCACATCTTATAATTAACACCTGATTAACTCAAACTAATCGTGTGTATCTTCTACAAAATCTTCATGGACCTTAACTGCAATTATTTAGATAAAGATCTTATTTATTAAAATGATCTAGAATTTTAGAAGAAACCTTTAGATGGAGATGTAAAGAAGAAAGCACAGGGAATCCAGGCCCATATTACAACATTTTTAAGCCCAATGTGCCCCTTTCAGACAAAGTTTCACAACCTGAAGCAAATTTCCAGGTAGGGATCTGGGTTGGAAGATATTGAGCTACTGACCGGTGGTGTGAGATAGGAAACAAGTCAATCTTTAGACGTGATTCGGGACACTTTCCACCATGGAAGCAGAGAGTTTGATTGGGCCATGAGTTGGGACACTTGTCACTGCCAAAGCAGAGTTTTATAAGGCTGTAAGCCGAGACACTTTTCACTGTGGAAGTGGAGTTTGATTGGGACGTGATTCGAGACGCTTTTCGTCATGTAATCAGACTCTGATTGGGATGGGAATCAGGAGACTTTTCACCGTGGAAGCGGAGTTTGATTGAGCAGTTTGCAGAGATATTCTTCATAATGGAAGCAGAGTTTGACCAGACAGCAAGTGGGACACTTTTCACTGTGGAAGCAGAGTGGGCCGTGAGTCGGGACACTTTTACGGTGAAAGTGACCCAGTCAAACTCTGCTTCCACGGTGAAAAATGTCTCAACTCACAGCCCAATCAAACTCTCTGAGTCGGGACGGTTTCGCTGTGGAAGTGGAGTCTGATTGGGCTGCAGGTCAGAACACTTTTCACTGTGGAAGCAAATTTTGATTGGGCCACAAATGCGGACGCTTTTTACCATGTAAGCGGAGTTTGACTGAGACGCGAGGTTTGACACTTTTCAACGTCAAAGCGAAGTCTGATTGGGCAGCGAGCTGGGACACTTTTCAATGTAGAAATTGAGTTTAGGCAGCAAGGACACATTTCGGCCATGAGTTGGGACATTTGGCACCGTCAAAGCAAAATTTTATAAGGCTGCGAGCCGAGATACTTTTCACCATGGAAGTGGAATTTGACTGGGCCATGAGTTGGGACACTTTTCACCATGGAAGCAGAGTTTGACTGGGAGATGATCTGGGAGAATTTTCGCTGTGTAAGCGCAGTTCGATTGGGATGGGAATCGGGACACTTTCACCGTGGAAGCGGAGTCTGACTGGGCCGCGAATCAGGACACTTTTACAGTGAAAGTGACCCAGTCAAACTCCTTGAATCGGGACACTTTTTACTGTGGAAGTGGAGTTTGAAAGTGTACTGGGACATTTTTCACAGTTGGAGTCTGATTGGGCTGTAACCCAGGACACTTCACCATGAAAGGTAAGTGTGATTGGGCCATGAGATGGGACACTTTTCACGGCGGAAGTGAAGTTTGATTGGGCTGTGAGCTGAGACACTTTTCATCGTAGAATAAGAGTTTGACTGGGCCGCAGGCCGGGACACTTTTCACTGTGGAAACTGAGTTTGATTGGGCCGCCAGTGCTTATTCGCAGCCGAAACTCGTGTGTGATACCCTATCTTTGCCTTATCATCTAGTGTATGCACCCTGTTTGCCTGGCTTAAGCCCACAGTGCACGAACCTGCCAGAGAGAGAAGACGCAGGCTCCTCATGCCAAACAGGTGTTGCAAACCAAAGTCCTGCACCTACGAATAAAAACACACCTCAGTAAGCATGGAAGACACTGAAAGACGTCACAACGAGTAGACAGTGAAGAAGTTGATCATTATTATTATTATTATTGCACTTTTCATATATTCAAAGTATAGTAATTAGAGTCTAAGTACCTGACAGCACCAGCGCAGATAAAGACTCCGCAGTGAGGACATGGTGGAGAGATACCCAAGACCCGTGTCTGTGATCCGTACACACCTAAACACAGCACACACCCACAACAGATTCCATCATACACTCCCTTCAGAACAGCACTGAGAGCTTTATTGAAGATACCGAATAATTCATTGTAGTTACTGAATAATTAAAAGTAGTTACTGAATAATTTTTAGTTTTATGAAATTAATTCATAAAAAGGAGTTTCCTCTTACACTATTTAAGAAAAACATTTTAACTAAAAGCACTTTACAGTGCTCTATGATATTCATCATTCTGACAGATTGCAATACATCACAGAAGTGTAGGATGTAGTGAAGCTTCTACTCTTATATCACAACACAAAAGAAGAAATGTCTCATCACCCAGATTGAAATTTGTGTAATACTCCTTCTGTATGTTTGCGGATGTTTTTGATCCAAGGTTGACCACATGGGGGCACTCTTCTGTATAAAGAGGTCACTGAACCACTACCTGGAAGACGTTCAGGGCTCTCTCCCCTCTGACGTGACCTGGAAGTGCGCCTGTCCAAACCAGCCCAGCACACCATTCAGTTCACCTCGCTGCGTTTTCTTTGTTAAATTCATACAAGCTCCCTCAGACAATGTGTTATGAAGTAGCGAGGCAAGCGCCCTTTTTCTTTAATTACCTTTTCTCCTGGTTTTAATCAGGAAGTTGTGTATATTTGTTTCTTTCATTTTCAGGTTAGTTCGTTTCCAAGCATTGGTTGTTTCTGTTTATTACTTTAGGGACATGCTTGTCCCTGAAGCTACACTAACCCAATGCTTAACGTCTCCATTGAGAGTGTTTTAAAGCAAACATAAATAAGCCTGAGCTGGTTTTCTTTTAAATACTGTCCAGTATTTGGTCTTCAACAAGTCCGGGGAGAGAGCCCGCTCTCATTTTCTGTTACAGCCTGAACCTAGACCGGATCGTAACAATGGAGCTGTGACGGGGCAAAGTGAGAGGAAACGGCAAAAGGCATAATGGTTTGATTGGTTGAATAATCGAATAATAGTCAATAGATTAATCGATTGCAGTTATTATGCAGCCCTAGATTACTGTCCCCAGCGGTGTCCAACTTCATTCCCAGACAGTCACGGCACTACAGCTTAGTAGTTTCTCTGACTGAATTCAGAAAAGTGGCACATTAACATTTACTCTCAAAGGCAATTACTTTAATACCTTAAATTTCGGGCAATTATTAAGTCGTTCAGCTTAAGGGTTATTATTCCATTACTACTATGAATTATCCAGCATCTAATATGAAATATTCATTACCTACTGTGAATTATTAAGGGTCTAATATGAATTATTCAGTGTTTTCTACGAATTATTAGGTATCTATTTTGAATTATTCAGTACCTACTATGTATTATTCACTAACTACTATGACTTATTTGGTGCCAACTATGAATTATTCAGCATCTAATATGAATTATTAAGTATCTAATATGAATCATTCAGTACCTGCTTTGAATTATTAAGTAACTAAAATGAAAGATTCTGCATTATTATGTTATGATTACATGTTATAGGAATTCTCCAGCATTTTTCAGCTTAATCTCATATTGCCGCATATTCAGCACAATGTCCGTTACTATGTGCAGTAACCTGGATGCATTTAGCCCAAACCCTGCTGCCTTGAAACTTACTTATAATAGACGCCAATAGGCAGCTGTTGAATTTCTTTAATAAAAGCATGAAATGCATGAATATGCACAGTCAAGTCACATTATTATGACCACTTCCTACTTTCGACGGCGGTAGCGCGTAGCTCATGAATGAAGTCCCGTGTCATGAGCTGGCTTGGTGGGTATATAAGCTGTGGAAGGCACTCTGAACGGATTCGGATATGGATCCATCCTTGTTCAGATACACACCGATCAGGCATAACATTCTGACCACCTCCTTGTTTCTACGCTCATTGTCCATTTTATCAGCTCCACTTACTATATAGGTGCACTTTGTAGTTCTACAGTTACAGACTGTAGTCCATCTGTTTCTCTGATACTTTGTTAGCCCCCTTTTACCCTGTTCTTCAGTGGTCAGGACCGCCATGGACCCTCACAGAGCAGGTACTATTTGGGTGGTGGATCATTCTCAGCACTGCAGTAACACTGACGTGGTGGTGGTGTGTTAGTGTGTGTTGCGCCGGTCTGAGTGGATCAGACACAGCAGTGCTGCTGGAGTTTTTAAACCCCTCAGTGTCACGGCTGGACTGAGAACCAAAAACATCCAGCCAACAGCGTCCTGTGGGCAGCGTCCTGTGACCACTGATGAAGGACTAGAGGATGACCAACACAAACTGTGCAGCAGCAGATGAGCTATCATCTCTGACTTTACATCTACAAGGTGGACTGACAAGGTAGGAGTACCAGCACAACACAGACTAACACACCACCACCACGTCAGTGTAACTGCAGTGCTGAGAATGATCCACCACCCAAATAGTGCCTGCTCTGTGAGGGTCCATGGGGGTCCTGACCACTGAAGAACAGGGCAAAAGGAGGCTAACAAAGTATCAGAGAAACAGATGGACTACAGTCTGTAACTGTAGAACTACAAAGTGCACCTATATAGTAAGTGGAGCTGATAAAATGGACAATGAGTGTAGAAACAAGGAGGTGGTCAGAATGTTATGCCTGATCAGTGTAGATAAGGTTCCAAACTGCTGGACTATTCCTTTCAGCATTTACATATCAGTAAATACACACTGACCTGTCCAGCACCAGCTCCTCCAGCTTGTGCAGGTCGCAGGCGATGTACTCCAGGGCCATGTCGGTGATTCGCGGGCACCAGGACAGATCGAGGCTGCGCAGTTTCCTCAGGTTCTCCGCCACCAGCTCCACACCGTCGTCCGTGATTTTGGAGCAGCCGGATAGGCTGAGGGCGGTCAGGTTGGGCAGGCTGTGCACCATGTTGACCACGCCGTGGTTGGTGATTTCCCAGCAGGAGTGCAGCCGCAGCGTGTGGGTGGTGTAGCCCTGCTTAGCGGTGAAGTAGGCCATGGCCGTGTCCGTCACATGGTAGGCCTGCAGGCTGAGCTCGGACAGGTTTGGCAGGAGCTGCGAGATGGCCGCGATGGCGTCGTCCGCCACGTTGATGCAGTCGCTGACGCTGAGCGAGGTGAGCCGCGCGTTCAGGCTCGACCACAGGCCCGCCTCTGTGAAGTCGTTACAGCCAGACAGCTCCAGGTGCATCAGGCCCTGCATCTGCTCCAGCATCACCTGCAGGGGTCCGGCACAGAGCAGCACGGTCAGCTATGTATGATACATCCAAAACTACAGCTATTATATCTGATCAAGAATCAACACGGACAAGGAAACAAGGGCACAGTATATAGATATAAACTTACAGTAGTGTCCACCTTATTACAGAGAACCTTGGATCATACTAGATGTTGGAACACAGCTGTGAGGATTTGACTGCATTCAGCCACAAGAGCATTAGTGAGGTCAGGTACTGATGTCATATGATTAGTTCTGGATCACTCCAACTCATCCCAAAGGTACTGGATGGAGCTTCTCGCCCAAGCTGAGCCTATACCCCTCAGCCCGGCATTTGACGTGTGTTAGGCTTATAATAAAGTGGCCAGTTAGTGGAAGTACAAAGCATTTCTCATAAAGTGGCCAGTCAGTTGAAGTACAATTAGGTGTTTCTAATAAAGTGGCCAGTAAGTGAAAGTACAAGGTACGTGTTTCTAATAAAGTGGCCAGTCAGTTGAAGTACAAGGTAGATGTTTCTTATAAAGTGGCCAGTTAGTGGATGTACAAAGCATTTCTAATAAAGTGGCCAGTGAGTGGAAGTACAAGGTAGGTGTTTCTAATAAAGTGTCCAGTCAGTTGAAGTACAAGGTAGGTGTTTCTAATAAAGTGGCCAGTCAGTCGAAGTACAAGGTAGGTGTTTCTAATAAAGTCTCCAGTCAGTTGAAGTACAAAGCAGGTATTAAGACAACTCAGCTGCATAACAATATTACAGACTATGGCTACAAGACATACCAGGTGGTTGTTAGGAGTCCCATTTTCTCTGCAGCTTTAATTATGTTTTGAGCTCCAGTGTTGGAAACTCCTATTTGTCCACTTTGACTTTCTCCTTTCTTATGCAAGTGGCTGATCTCATATCTAATCTCCTCCGAAACATCTCCTCAATAATGAATATCTTGTACTTCATTGTTGTTTTGACTGGAAATTAAATAAATGAAGGTTGGTCTCTGACGTCTGCACAATACTGTGGGTTTGCATTTCCAAATGTTCTATTACGTTCATTGAAGTTGAGCCTAAGCACATTCTCATAAAGGGTCCACACACTCCCTCATTTCCAGAAAAACAAAGCTTGGCCTCATAAAAATGTGCAACAAAGCATTCTTTTCAGCATTTGTGCGAGGGAAGCGTGGTTTTGTTTTCCTTTTCAGAGCACAGTTAGGGTAGGATTAACCTCACCCATGTTCGCAGCAAAGCCTTTTTTTTATTCCTCATTAAAAGGGCTGCCAAGAGCAATTTTCAAATATGCAGTTACTCCTTGCAAATGACACAAGCATTTTTAATTACATAAAGAGGATTACTTTACAAGTGTGCAATAGCCAGGCTTAACAGAATGGCCGTCCTTTAACGTCCATGTGTGTTAACCCATCAAAATGTGTATTTACTGTGCAAAAGCCCATTTATTTCATTTCCAGTCAAAATGGATTCATTTTTCAGGAGACATTTCTGAGATTAGATATAAGATAATACACTTGCATAAGGAAGGAGAAAGTCAAGGGATAATAAGTGAAAAAGCTTTCCAAAACAGCTTCACAGAAAATGAGACTCTTAGCAACCACCTGCAACATCTGGGAGACCACCAAAATGGTCAGCATGCGTGTGACCGGGTCCAGGCTATTGGGCTACAGCCCTAAACATTTTTTTTTTTTTAAGTTAGTGGAAGTACAAAGTGTTTCTTATAAAGTGGCCAGTAAGTGGAAGCACAAGGTAGGTGTTTCTAATAAAGTGGCCATTGAGTGGAAGCACAAGGTATGTGTTTCTAATAAAGTGGCCAGTGAGTGGAAGTACAAGGTAAGTGTTTCTAAAAAAGTGGCCAGTTAGTGGAAGTACAAAAGAGGTGTTTCTCATAAAGTGGCCAGTGAGTGGAAGTACAAAGTAGGTGTTTCTAATAAAGTGGCCAGTGAGTGGAAGTACAGGGTAGGTGTTTCTAATAAAGTGGCCAGTGAGTGGAAGTGCAAGGTAGGTGTTTCTAATAAAGTGGCCAGTGAGTGGAAGTGCAAGGTAGGTGTTTCTAATAAAGTGGCCAGTGAGTGGAAGTACAGGGTAGGTGTTTCTAATAAAGTGGCCAGTCAGTGGAAGTACAGGGTAGGTGTTTCTACTAAAGTGGCCAGTCAGTAGAAGTACAAGCTAAGTGTGTCTAATAAAGTGGCCAATGAGTGGAAGTACAAGGTAGGTGTTTCCGCCACGACTGGTAGACCACCAAAATGGTCAGCAGGGGTGTGACTGGGTCTGGGCTATTGGATTTCCCAGATTTTCATTCCTGGGATTAAAAATGTGTAAGGACCAGTCTACTGAATTAAATCACCCACCACAGCAACAAAAGGTGGTCTCTGACTTTTGCACAGAACTCTATTCTCGACTTTAGCTTTCGAATCATCGCTTAATCTGCAAAAATGACACTCCATCGGCTGGGCTGACCCCGTTGACCTACTTAGCGAGCCCGAAAAAGAGAAAGAGGCGAACTGCTTCCCGGCGATCCGTCACTAAGCAACAGCATGTTGGTTCTTCAAGTGCACACATGGCTTTATGTCTTAATCATGAGAAGCAGTTATGCAGTGATCTATTTGGACCCGAATGACCACCAACTAGGGCACAATTCAAACCACACGAGAGATGTCAGGGGGGCAGGGCGCAGATTGCATGCGGCGCTGCCCGAAAGTACTAATTTGACTAAAACAAACCGCTCTTGTCACCAACTCCCATGGTCCCGCCCTCCTGCTGAGATGTTGGGGATGGTCCAGGCCTTGTGCACTCATATCTGGGCTGCCCTAGATAACTCGCACATGACCGGGGGGTGCACGGCCCTGCGCGGACCTGGACCGGCGTCCGAGCGAACGCTGGCCTGAACGTTCGAGAGAAAACGGCACAGATAGCATCACTAACAATCCAAGCGCTCACCATGGCAACGGCAGGCCAGTCCTAGAATAGCAACAGCTCAGAGGGAAGTGTGATGAGTGGAATCATGGCTGCGTGTTCTTAAAAGAGGAGGATCACTATTGCGCAATCTGCACTTCTTCTCTCTTACATTCAGAGTTATGCTCTGCAATGTTGTATATTTTATGACAGACTTTATTATATCCATATTTTAAAGGAGAATTCCACCTATTTCTCAAAATGTCTGCATAATTAAGATGTAAACAGAGTGATTCAGAGAGGTTTGGTGTGAAATGGTTCAGATTTCTTTACAGTGGTGGTGATAGGAACCAGGGGTCGTCATGAATACACAAACATAAATATAGCCATGATATTTTTCTATCCATAACCACCATGAACCTACACGCATCTTCTGAGTTATTATATGTGATGTTGGTAATGATAAAACAGAGAAAATACATTTTTCTTTGGGTGCTTTTAGAAGCATCTGGTTCCTATCACCACCACTGTGAGCAATTCTGACTCGGTAAGTTTCTCTAGAAAGGAGTGTTTCACACCAAACCACTCTGAATGACTTTCTTTACATATAAACAATTTAGCTATGCAGAAATTCTGAAAAATCTGTGGAATTCCCCTTTAAAGGGTGATAGATGAATAGACAAACAGACAGATAATAAAATATGCTTTATAGTATGCTCAGTATAGATTTCCCTCTTTATTACTATTCACAACTATTAGAATTCCCTTAATGATCCATATTTTACATATTCTTTTTTATTGATTTCTCTGAGGTCCACTTATGATGTTTGTGTGGTTTCGTGAACCAAAACCAGTCAAAATTAGACCATTTCCAGCCTCTCTTTATCCCTTAGAAGTGAACAGGCTGGTTTTGTCCTGTTATGTTCCTTTTGTTTTGTTTTGTGTCTTCAGGGCTGATATTTATAAATGAGTTTTGTTCTGATCAGGTGCTCCGCATTGTTTCTCATTAAAAAAGCAGTTGGGGCTGAAACACTCATTATCACTTCAGCATCTACTCTGCCACTGAGTTGATCAGCTCACCAACCAATCAGCACTCAGTAGCAGTAACGGCAACCAATTAGCACTCAGTAGACAGTAATGCTAACTAATCAGCACTCAGTAGCAGTAATGTCAACCAATCAGCATTCAGTAACAATAAGGCTAACCAATGAGCACTCAGCAGCAGTAATACCAACCAACCAGCATTCAGTAGCAGTAATACTAACCAATCAGCACTCAGTAGCAGTAATGCTAACCAATCCGCACTCAGTAGCAGTAATGCTAACCAATCAGCACTAAGTAGCAGTAATACTAACCAATCAGCACTAAGTAGCAGTAATGCTAACCAATCAGCACTAAGTAGCAGTAATGCTAACCAATCAGCACTAAGTAGCCAACCAATCAGCACTAAGTAGCAGTAATGCTAACCAATCAGCACTAAGTAGCAGTAATACTAACCAACCAGCATTCAGTAGCAGTAATACTAACCAATCAGCACTAAGTAGCAGTAATGCTAACCAATCAGCACTAAGTAGCAGTAATGCTAACCAATCAGCACTAAGTAGCCAACCAATCAGCACTAAGTAGCAGTAATACTAACCAATCAGCACTCAGTAACAGTAATGCTAACCAATCAGCACTCAGTAACAGTAATCCTACTACTCAAAATTTGTTTCCCACAGAAAAACAGAAAGATACTGGTGTTTTTTTTTTTATTTGCACCCTTCGACTTTCCAAGTCTGAACTGAAGTTCACATAAATGTGTATTTTTTTAGCCGTTTAGCTCCATTCACTCCCATTCATTGAGGACTCGCTCGCAGACTCCCTCCCTCTGTTTCGCAGCCATTTTTTGTATAATGGGAGAAATACGCTCTCCATAAGCTACAACAGGAAATATGAGTATCCGACAGGTTTACCTCAAGTCCTGCGTCTGTGATGGTGGACCGTTTCAGGCTGACGGACTTGACGCCCTTCTTCGACAGCGGGTAGTTGTCGATGAACTCACAAATGTCCAAGTCGGAGACGCCCACCAGGCAGAAGGACTGGAAGCCCCTGAGGGCGAAGGCCTGCAGGCTGATGAACTCCTTCTCTCCGTTGGGCAGGACGTTGTAGAGCTCCTTGGCGTGCAGGATGGGCGTCACCCCTTCCCAGAATTTGGGCTGGTACAGCACCTTGCGCCACGTCTTGCACACCTGCGCCAGGACGCACTTTTCGGCGGTGGTGAAGTACCACAGCAGCCGGTTGAGCACCTTCTCGTCCAGCACCAGCTGCCGCTCCAGCAGCGGTTTGGGATACTGCCTGAGCGGAGGCTTGATGGCCATCAGGGGGCTAGTGTCCAGGTCTGGGCCCAGCAGGGAGGCTGCCGTAGGCAGGGGCTCGAGGTGGTATGGCAGGCTGGGTGGGGGCAGGATGGTGGGCACCGAGGATGACTGACACAGGCGGTTCTTTGCAGCTGGAGTGCCTTTTGTAATGCTGGCCGAGCCGAGGCCGTTGGGCTGGGGGGGCAGCTTGACCATGCCGTTCCGCGTTACACAGGGAGACTTGAGGTCACTTGGAGTGGACATGTTCAGCATTCAGACCCTGAGAGACGGGAAACACGGAAACAACATTGTCAGTGAATAGAACGGTGGTCTAAATCTCTGACTCTGACACTGATTCTGATTCTTTTGGATACAGTTCTGTGTATCATGAAACCTCATATTTTGCCAAAACGTGATTCAGCTTCTTTAGAAAATGATTCAACGAATCAAGAAATCTCAAATTTTGCCGAAATTCAATTCAGAATCTTTAGGAAACTATTCAGTGCATTATGAAACCTCAAATTTCACCACAAATCAATTCTGATTCTTTAGGAAATGATTGAATCCATCATGAAACCTTGAAATCACCACAATTATATTCCGATTCTTTAGGAAATGATTCAATGCATTGTGAGACCTTAAATTTTGCCAAGCTTTGATTCTGATACTCTAGGAAATGATTCAGTGCATCATAAAACCTCAAATGCGACATGATTTGATTCTGATTCTTTAGAAGACAATTCAGCGCATCATAAACCCTCATATTTCACCAAGATTTGATTCTTATCCTTTAGGAAACGATTGAATGCATCGTGCATCATATTGCATATTTAACTTCATGGGGAAGGGTGTTAGTGCCTGTTCGGAGTGCCTAAAACTCCCTTCCCTGTGATAAAATCACAGTAACACACTCAGGTGACCTCAGGTGGCTTATGACTTGTATAAAACGGCAGCGGTGGGGTGCTGGAGCCTATCCCAGCTGTCATTGGGCAGAAGGCAGGATACACCCTGGACAGGTCACCAGTCCATCACAGGGCAGACAGACAGACATACACATTCACACACACCTAGGGGCAATTTAACATGTCCAATTGGCCTGACTGCATGTCTTTGGACTGTGGGAGGAAACCGGAGTACCCGGAGGAAACCCACACAGACACGGGGAGAACAGGCAAACTCCACACAGAAAGGACCCTGGTCACCCAGCCGGGAATCGAACCCAGGCCATTCTTGCTGTGAGGTGACAGCGCTACCCACTGCGCCACCGTCTTAATTTGTTATTTTTAATAATACTCAACATAAACAAGTATTCCACCAGGAAATGTAGCTCCTTTAGAGCATGGACTTAGGAGAACATTCGGTGTAAACTACAGTCATTTCATGAATTTGTAAAACTTTTTGTTGTATTACAACGAATATATGATAACACAGCACTGTTTAATGCAAAAACATTAAACATTTATAAGTACTTTTTGGTCACTAAATAACCACCACAAGTCTTATTTAGCACCAATCCAGCGGCCTTTTTTCTCACACTGGGGCTGAATCTCAAATCTCACAGTGCACTACAAAGGAGTTTAAATACTGGATCCTGCAGCCCAACAGAGCAAAATACAGCTAAGAAACAGTCATTTGGGATTCAGACACATCCACACTCGATAAATGACGCACTATTTGACTGCAGAGGCTAGAATTTCTAAACTTTCATAGCTAGAACACTATTTAGGGAGTACTGAGCCATTTGGGATTCAGCCTGGGTTTGATTCTACTTCTGACTGAAACATAAACATCTGAAGCGTGTAAGTGACATTATTTAGACTTTTATACTGCTGTTTTACAGTGAATCATACTGTAAGTACTTTAATTCAATCCTGTGATATTAATGATGGAGTTGTTTAGCCTGTTAGCTAGTTGACCAGCCTAGTTCTAGTTAAGAACATAAGTTGTCAGCCCCTCAGTTTAAACAAAAAGCAGATTGTTGCTTCATCAGCCCCAACATATGGAAATATTAAACTAATCTGTTCTATAACTATGTTTTAGTTTTCTAATAAATCTAGTTGCTTGTTCTCGTCATAAACGCAAAATAAAATAAAGTTCAGTCAAAAATAAAAGAAAGTTGAATAAAAGACTTCAGCCGTTGAGTTCTTTTGAAGGAAGGAAAAGGCCCACTCTTCATTTATTAAGCTTCAGGTGGCAAGATGGCTCCGGACAACCAAATGCAATGTACAATACAGAAACATCAATTTTATACCCTGTTTGGGGGCGATGAAGAAATCACCCCTCCCTCTCACCTTTTCTCAGTTCACTTTGGTTCCCATTATTTCTTATTTTTACACTTCAGTTGGAAACCCTTATTTCTGATCGCACGTGTCCTTGATTTTTTAAAAACTTGCATGCTCAGCTATCCCAAGCTACTCCCATCCTCTCAAGGGTTTTAATCAAATTTTGTTTTTAAAACTGGTTCCAACACTGATACTGTCTGGTTCCCTATCAGCTTGGCTCACTCTTTGAGGTCAGCTTGCCCTCACAGCAAAGCACTAGCTTCTAGAAGCTTCAGAAACCCTCCATTGCGAAATCCCTTAACCTACATACAGCAAGGCCTATCCTTAGTGAGAGGATTAATACGCTTTTGTTAATGAACTTTTTAGTATATGATTATGGATTTCTTATTGATTATGATAGTAATATACTCATTATAATTCCACATTCCCTCCTTTCATGGTGCCCTCACCATGACCTTTACAAATGTTTGATTAGTTCGCATGCATAATACACAATGAATGTTATATGTTTACTAATATATGAAAATCAAAGGTTACTTATTAGTAATAGTATGTATCAAAAAGATTAACAGATTAAAACCAAAATCATGTTTTTTTCCCAATTATATGATTAATATGTATGATTAATATGATTATGATTTAATTTATATGATCCACAGTTCCTGGTGGTTTTGCAGTGTTTTTTGGCTTTTTGTCTCCAAACTGAAAACAAAACCAAAACAGAACCTTTTCCAGCTGTTTCTGGCCTTCAGTTTATGACCCACATCAGAGTTATAGAATAAAGAATATGAAGATACACAATGCAGAATAAACAGATAGAGTCAGAAATGTAATGCACTGCGCTGCGCTGAACATCCTCAATTAGTATGCAGAGGTTCCTCAAAGCTAACATTCAAAACATGACATCATGCTGCTATTTTTAAGCTCCATAACTTCCCGGACGACCTTAAAGCCTCCGCACAGGTGCGCGTGCTCAGCGCACTAATGCTGCCCGCGTAAAATGTCAATGAGTGTTGCTCGCTTTCATCCGTTTTCCTGAATAAGCCCTCTCGAGAGGCCATCGCCGCAACAGAAAACACAGCAGCGGAGAGGAACATGCTAATTATAGACGTCGAAGGCTTCAATTGAGCCAGATTTAACTAAAAGAATACAAAAAAGAAAAAAAACCATTTATCTGCATTCACATCACTCTCAATCGAGCGCCCATTAGAACAGCCTGTCTTTGTATGCACAGATAAAAACAGTGCATATAAATTCATTATAAAGTGCATGATATCAGCACATTTACTGCCAAAAGCCATAATTATAGTTATATCTACAATCCATAACTCATCAGCCATTTTAATATTTTATTCATATATTTTATTTAAATACAAAATCCATTTGCACAGGCAGAGAAAAGTCAAAGGAAATTATGTCTAACAGCTACAGAGAAAATGGGGACCACCTGGAAGAGCTGGTCGACACCAAAACTGCCCCCATCAGATAAACAGCACTTAAAGCTTTCATCTCTGAGAGAGAGGAGAAAATCAAGCTGCTTCAGATCTGAAAACATCCACAGGTGTTTCTGTCCATCCTTCCACTGTGAGAAGACGACTCAGCGCTGTGGGTCTGAAAGGATGTGTAGCTGTTCAAGAAGAACCTCACTGAGAAAAGGAGACGGACACATCAAACAAAGAAGCTGAACGATGGACTGACCACCCCAGAGTCCAGACCTCAACACCACTGAATGTGTTTGATCACTTCAGAAAATGATCAACCAGCTTCTAAGACTGAACTTTGGAGGTGTGTCTGCAGATTCTTTGAGGAACTGAAAGTGAGACTCCTGAAAAGAACGGAAGCTGGAATAAAGGTGATGAGAGACTCACTGAATATTGAAAATATATTATATTTAGTTACTGAAGCTTCTGTGTAATTTTCTGCTTTTATTCCTGATGTTGAAAACTTGTATTTAATGGCTGTTTTGACTGGAAAATTAATGAATGAAGGGTGTACTGTGTTGTATTTACAGTACTCTCTCATATGTATGTTAATAAATGTTAATTATCATGTTTAAGTGTTAGCACAGATTGTAGCACTGCTACTTATTTATCTTAGCTGTTTTCTTAGATAATTTTCATTTAATTGTATTACTTTACTAAGAATTAGTTGCTTTTCAGATTTATAGTTTTAATTGTTGTTTATTATATAATTTAGTTTTAGCTTTAATTTACATTTACATATTTATTATTACTTGTTTTTTTTCATTATCTTATTTTATTTTATTTAATTGTTTTGTCTTATCACATCACTATATCACCTTTCTTCTTAATACACACTGTGCATCTATCTATCTATCTATCTATCTATCTATCTATCTGTCTGTCTGTCTGTTTGTCTATCTATCTGTCTGTCTGTCTATCTGCCTGTCTATCTATCTATCTATCTGTCTGTCTGTCTGTCTGTCTGTTTGTCTATCTATCTGTCTGTCTGTCTATCTGCCTGTCTATCTATCTATCTATCTATCTGTCTGTCTGTCTGTTTGTCTATCTGCCTATCTATCTATCTATCTATCTATCTATCTATCTATCTGTCTGTCTGTCTGTCTGTCTGTCTGTCTGTCTATCTATCTGTCTATCTGCCTGTCTATCTATCTATCTATCTATCTATCTATCTATCTGTCTGTTTGTCTGGCTATCTATCTGTCTGTCTGTATATCTACCTGTCTTTCTATCTGTCTGTCTGTCTATCCATCTGTCTGTCTGTATATCTATCTGTCTATCTAGCTGTCTGTCTGTATATCTATCTATCTATCTACCTATCTATCTATCTAGCTATCTATCTGTCTATCTAGCTGTCTGTCTGTATATCTATCTATCTATCTATCTATCTATCTAATGAAATGAGTATCACCCAGTGTCTTTCCAAGTGAATATGGTGAAGAAAGGTGGCTGATTAAATGATTAACATCACTGATTTTTAATACATTGACACAGTTGTACCCTTTGACCTGTCTGTA